TGAATTTCTTGGTAACATTTTCTTTTCTCTAACTTTATTGTAAGAATACAGTATATAATACATATAATACAGTATATAATACATATTATAATTATATAATGCATATAATTTCCTGTTTATGTTATCTATCAGTAAGGCTTCTGGTCACCAGTAGGTAATTAGTAGTTAAAATTTGGAGAAGTGAAAAGTTAAACACAGGGTTTTGACTGGGCAGGGGCTTGATTCCCTTAACCCTTGCCTTGTTCAAGGGTCAACTGCATATTATAATATCTTTGGGGATAAGGTGGAAAATGACTTGAAATTACTTAACCAGAGGATTTTAAAAGTGTGAGGGAGAAAAACTCAATTTAGTTTAAATATTCATTGATTTGCTCATGTATTATTGAGTTTCTATTATTCCCAGGAACTATACTGCTGGGCATACTCTGATAAGAGTTTGATAGAGTCTCTGCTTTCATTTAGTGTGCACACTTTATAAATAAACTTTTAAAAAAGATGACTGCTGAATGGTAAGTGCTAAGAGAAAAATAAACACAATAATATGATAAGTATATGGAGTTCAGTTGAGGGAAACTACTCTAGATAGACCTAAAGGATGAGAAGGAGTCAGCATGGGAAAATTCTGGGAAACAGTCTTACAAGAAGAGTAACTGCAAGACTTTGAAGCAGCAAAACTCTTACACAATCCATCGTGGTTGGAGCAGTAAGAGTTAAGAATACATAGATGAGAAAAGAGAAGAAAGGCAGATATTGTAAGGCCTGGCAGCCCAAGATACTTCATTTTAAATGTAGTAGGAAGCCAATAAGCTAACAAGAAGTTTTAAGCAGAGAAGTGAGGTGTTGTCACTTATATTTCCAACAGTTCACTCTGCTGTGTACAGCATGGATCGGGGGGAAGAGTTAAAGCAGGAAAATCTTCAACTAAGGTGGCCACAATGGATTACAGAAACTTCAATGACCTGAGAATAGTTTGGTAGAAGCGATGGACTTTACTGATAAAATGACTGTTGTGGTGTGTGAGGGCAGTAAGTTAAGAATAACTCACAGGTTTCTAGCTTGGTCACTGGGCCCAAAGTACTGTCAATTTCTAACATGGAAGAAGACTTTGAAGAAAAAATGTTTATAGGATACAAATCAAGTGTTCCACTTTGACCATAGTATTTTTTAGAAGTACTGGAATATAAAAGTGGAGAGGTCAAGTAGGCAGTTTGAGATATGAGTCTGAGGCTCAGGGAGAAGTCGGCACATGTAAATTATGGTCCTAGATCATATCATTTAGGTGAAGTAACAGAGGAAGAAGAAAAAAGTAATCAGGACTTCAGCCTATGATTGTGGACATTTAAAAGGGAGATAATAGAAGAACCGCAAGGGAAAAAAAAAAAAAAAGGGTGATGGGGTAGGGTGCAGTGGCTCATGCCTGTAATCCCAACTACTTGGAAGGCCACGGCGATTGGATCACTTGAGGCCAGGATTCTGAGACCAGCTTTGGCAATATAGCAAGACTGTCTCTCCACAAAAAATTTAAAAAAAATAATTAACTGGACATGCATGTTTGTGGCACATGTTTGTAGTCCCAGCTACGCAGGAGGCTTCTGAGGTGGGAGGAATGCTTGAGCCTCAGAGTTTGAGGCTGCAGTAAGAAAAAAAAGGAAGGAAGGAAGGAAGGAAGGAAGGAAGGAAGAAGCCTAGAGGAGGAAAACAGCGAGGAGAAAAGTAAGGGGGAATATGATGTAATAACAGAATTTCATAAAGTAGAGAGTGATCAGAGATGTGTTGAATATGTTTGAAAAGTGTCGTAATTGAGTGCGTAGACATGGTCCTTAGCCAGACACATGGATTTTGTATTGGGTAATGTGGAGATTATTGGTGACCTTGACAAGAGCAGTTTTAGTGGACAGAGGAAGGGAGAGGCCATACTGGGGTGAGGTAATAAGTAATAGAAAGAAGTTGAGTAGACTTTTTCAAAATGTTTTTCTATGGAGAGAAGAAAAATGGGATGATATTTGTAGAAAAGGAGTTATATTATCATCTCCTCACTTAAAAATAATATCATGCCCAATGAGAAAGATCCAGTAGACAGAGGTA